TAGGAATCAAGTGATGTCTGCACCAGTTTGAATGCAAATCGTTTGGATTGAAAACTTACCCATAAAGATGACACACGACAAGAAGAAAATTGTGAAATAATGGTTTCCGGCCATTTTCGTTTTGAGTTGTCTTTTAAAATCTTGTCACACAATATGCTTCCCTTTCGAAAGTAAGTCACACTAGAACATGAGCCCGCGATAACGGAGGGCAAGAGGTCTTTCAATGCCCGGCGCATTATTTAAAGCAAAAGCGATAAGAATTAAGATGGCGTTTAAGGACACATTTTTTTGTTTTGGAAAATAAAAATAATTAGTGGATTAATTGTGGAGTCAGACTAATACCAATTTTGCAGAATCGCTTCAAAAATTATTTATCTTTGGCACAGTGCACTTCTTGCCTATCTAATATCTACCAGTATACTTGTACTTTTCTATCTCTACCAGTATACTTTGATTTGCGGAAAAATTGAAAAGCGGATACAGATCAATAGATACTAAAAAAACCTTGTCACGAAAGTGAGCTACTGGAGTTTTTTTTAAACGTTGTACAAGCACTTCTGTGAAAATTAACGTATTGAAAACTTAGAAGATTAACATTTTATTTTATAAAGAAAAGAAACAATAGTACAGAGGCACTTCAAAACACTGGGTGCGATTTTCGAAGTCTTTGAAAACTCATCCGTATGTTGCGTCTGCGCTGCCTTGCGTGAAATTATTGTTTCGGCCAAGTTGTCAAAAGTATTAATGACAAGTCGGATATGTCGTTCAAACATTAAATTCAATTGAACTACCTATGGTCCGTTGAAGACNACCAGTTTGAATGCAAATCGTTTGGATTGAAAACTTACCCATAAAGATGACACACGACAAGAAGAAAATTGTGAAATAATGGTTTCCGGCCATTTTGGTTGTAGAGTTGTGTTGTAAAATCTGGTCACACAATATGCTTCCCTTTCGAAAGTGAGTCACACCAGAACATGAGCCCGCGACAACGGATGGCAAGAGGTCTTTGCAATGCCCGGCGCATTATTTGAAGCAAAAGCGATAAGAATTAAGGTGGCGTTTAAGGACACATTTTTTTTTTTGGTTTTGGAAAATAAAAATAATTAGTGGATTAATTGTGCAGTCAAACTAATATCGGCCAGTATACTTTGATTTGCGGAAAAATTGAAAAGCGGATACAGATCAATAGATACTAAAAAAAACCTTGTCACGAAAGTGAGCTACTGGAGTTTTTTTTTTAACATTGTACAAGCACTTCTGTGAAAATTAACGTATTGAAAACTTAGAAGATTAGCATTTTATTTATAAAGAAAAGAAACAATAGTGCAGAGGCACTTCAAAACACTAGCTTTGAAAACTCATCCGTATGTTGCGCCTGGGCTGTCTTGCGTAAAATTATTGTTTCGGCCAAGTTGTCAAAAGTATTAATGACAAGTCGGATATGTCGTTCAAATATTAAATTCAATTGAACTACCTATGGTCCGTTGAAGACCTAAAAATAGATCGAAACATATGAAGATTCTATTCATGTTAATTAATTTTTGGCGAATCCTGAATAACTCAACTCAAGACTGTGCTTTGCAGTCAAGGGAATGGAACAATTTTCTATATATTACTCATAAATTATTTGTTCCAAGGGAAAAAAATCTTACTGTGACTTTGCGATTTGTTTCAATCTTCCTCTACCATAATTATTAACGACACTCCATCCGTGCAACTTACTTCGTAACTGACTGTTTCTATGAGTATTTATTGTCGCATAGTCGTTGTTCTCTACCCGTTCCTAAACTATCATTTTGAGTCACCTGC